CCCAGGGCCCCCTGGAGCAAAGCCGCAGCGGCGGCGGGGTGCCGCACCTCTGAGGCTTTGCCAGAGCAAAGCCTCAGAGGCGCGGAACCCCTCCGCCTCCCCGGCTTTGCTCCAGGTGTCCCTGGGCTGCTGGAGACGGTCCCCAGCAGACCAGGGGCACCCGGAGCAGCTTTTCTTGCCCCGGAGGTCGAGGTGGCGGTCCCGCTGCGCTCTGGGCGGTCCCACTGCCTGCGAGCTCCGGGGCAAGAGAGCCCCGTTCGTAAGTGCAGATCCGACATAAGTCGGATCCGCGTAACTCGGGGACTGCCTGTATACAAATATTACCCATGTAAAAATTCTGTTGGTTTACCGCGGGGCTTGGCTGCTCGCTGCCATCACCCAGCCCCATAGAGCTGCCAGCTCCTAGCCCTGTGGCTCAGTGGGCCTAGCTACAATAGAGCAGACACCCACCCGCAGCATGCTTGGGAGAGAACTGCTTGGGCCAGGCGAGGTCAGCCATGCTGCTCTTCTCTGCAGGCGAGTTACTGTTCTGTGAGCAGGAGGCTGCTTCATCCTGGCTGGATTCCGGTTAACTCGTAAACATCGTTCGTTCACATCCCTACTCAGGAAGCGGGGTTCATTTTTCCCTTACCCAGCCTGTCACAATGGACCTTCCTGTTCTCCAGCTCCCACACAATCACTATACTTAGTTTGTGGAGGTAGGCAGCATGCTGCCAGGGATTAGCTTCTCATCATTGCCAGCTAACCTTTGGAATAGATCCTTTACTTGAGAAGGGCCCAATCGTTTCATGGTTCAAACCCCATTGCATATGTTCATATGGGTCCTAGATCAGGAAAATATGAAACACAAGCTTAAATTTCCTTATTAATTTCAGTCTGGGTTGTTAAATGTGAAGTTTGAGGAGCACAAAATGCTTAATTTTTTGGGTTTTTTTTTAACATACATTTTCTGTTTTATAGGTAATCTCTCCTGTCTCCTCCAATAGCACTACAACAGAAAGGTACACAAACTCTTTTTTCCCTAAAAATGGCATCTGGTTTGTTTTTTGTTGTTTTGACTCTCCTGGGTTACTTTTTATTAATATATCGATGATGTTAATGCAAATAGCAGAAACAAGCACACATTCTGTTTGCTGTAAGTGACATCTTGAAATGGATAGAAGAGAAGGGGACTTACTCTCGCATAACTCACACTTCCTTGTGACTTCCCTTATCATTCTCCTTATTGCAATCTTCTAGTACCGGTGGCTAGCAAACCATCTCACACATGGTTTTCTGCTCACTTCCCCACCTCTGGCTTCTGCTATGGAGCATTGCCAATATGAGTTCTGCTGCAGAAAACAGAGGGAGCAAAGGGCAATGAATAAGATTTGTGGAGAGGGATAGCTCAGTGGTTTGAGCATTGGCCTGCTAAACCCAGAGTTGTGAGTTCAATCCTTATGGAATCCATTTAGAGGTTTGGGGCAAATCTGTCAGGGATGGTACTTGGCCCTGCCATGAGGGCAGGGGACTGGACTAGATGACCTTTCAAGGTCCCTTCCAATTCTTTGAGATGGTATATCTCCATATATTGTATTATTATTATTATTATTATTATTATTATTATTATGAGCTGTCCATCACAACAGTGACATAATGCCACCAATGCCAAAATAGCATGCCACTGGAACATTTCTTTAAAATCTGGTATGTCCTAATAACCCTAATTCTGCCTTGATGATGTGCCCATATTGGCCTCCAAAGCAAAGCAAATATTTTCCCTGGGTTTCTGTACCTTTTTTTAAGTTGAGTATTTAAGAAACAAGAGTTATGAGAACATGTCCTGTTTTCTGAAAAGGATAATCCCTCTTCTGGGTTTCCATAGTTTTATTAACAGTAGGCTTAATTCCAGTAAATATTTAACAACTTTTTAGCATAACATTTTAATTTGTTCTAATTATGTAAGCAGTTCCTTAAAGGCAACCTACTTCTGTCTGAAAACTTTTTTTTACATGTCATTGTTACAAGTAATACCTTAAATTACTATAACTGAGACCCGGAGAAATTCTTCCTGCCTATGATGACTCTTTGTTTATAGTTTGTTTTCCCACTTATATGGTCATTTTCAGGGCTTGACACATGGCGGCGAAAACCGCTCACCAGCCCCGTACTGCGCATGCGCAAGAGCTGTATTGCGCATGCGTGCACCGCAAATGAACGGTGTTTATTGTTTAATTTGTCGAGCCCTGGTCATTTTCACCTGTTATGTATGTATATTTGTACTGTTCACTCACAAAACAATAGAGACAAAGGTATTTGGGGAAAAAAATAGGAAAATATGTCTAAAGCCATGAGAGCAGAACTGCTTCAGATACAGTATCTTTTCCTTTTTTTAACCAACTGGATTTCAAGAGGGACACAGCAAACTTAATGATGTATGCATGTTTTTTCTTTCAGAATTCCATATTCTTAGCTTAGGATTGTTTCAGTGACTATATATTGGGAAAACATTTTTGAAGCTACATGGTTCCCTCTAGTGTCTTTAGACAAACATTTTGCTCACAACAATTTAGAACAGGCTATGCGTTTTGGATTTCAAGTCCCTCTTTCACATTGTTGTGTATCGTTTGACAGGAAGAGATATGCCAAGTGAAATATGATATTGTCTGTCCTTTGATTTACATTTGTTTCTTTTCCCCTCCCCCCCTTAGGCAAATGGAATTGCACAGTTGTGAAAATGGCTCCATAAAGACAGAAACTAATCATTGTGAGCAAACCTTGATTAATCCTCTGATACCTTCAAACCTGAAATCTAATGACGGGGACTGTGACATTGCAGCAGAAGACGATGTAAAAAAGAAGTTGATAGGTAAATGAATGGAACAAAATATTATCCAGGATTGTTTATTACTTTTGAGCACAAACAGTCCTCAAGAGTATGAGAGATCTTGCTTCCCAAGAGAGACGGAGCATGTCAGGACTCTCTACAAGGTTACTGAAATTTTACTTAGATCTCTGCCCATTTCCTAGGGGCAAAATCTTCCCAACACTATTCACACCCTTGTTGGTGGCCTTGGTGGAGACCAAGAACTGAAGAGGTATAGTGACTAGAATGCTCTCTCACACTAGAGCTCTTTCTGGGTCACAGTTGACAGAAATTGGGATTGCATTCATGCACTTCTTGCACTGCACATGCTCGATGGACAAGGGACTTTTCTGAGTAGTTGCCCTGCCTGCAATTCACTTATACCACCAGTGCATGTACATCTTAAAAGACCAAAACAAAATTCTACAAACAAAAAGCTAAAAACAAAACAAAAATCTCTAAACCCTTTCACCTTAAATTAAGAGTCTACTTATTTTAGGAAGATTCCTCCACCGTTCAGATAGTCCTGTATTACAGTACCCATTACTCTAGCTGGCATCTCTTCTAAGTAGGCAAAGTTAAACAAACGATTTTATATTTTGAATTGGCATTGTTTTAGAAATTGCCTGATGCTTATGCTAATGTAATTCTGTAAAAACAAATCTGTACATGATATAATCCAGCTCTGAGACACTATGTTGATGTATTTGAGGTTTTTTATTAATATTTGTTTGAGTAAATTAGGTGAGACTCAAACTACTGGTGTTTCCCTTACTGAATATTATGCAGGAACGGGCACTAATAACTAGTGGTCTAGCAGAATTTTTGCACAAACATGAGGCATCAAGTTTCCTCTCATCTTAACAAGTTATGCTCTGTCACAAACATTTAGTTCTGCCGGTTTTCCAAAATTTCCTTTGCATTTGTTTTCCTCTCTTTGGTTTTAGTTTGGTCTTGCATTGGCAGAAGAAATAGTTGGAAAAAAACAGAAATATAGTAACTGAAAAGGAAAACAACTGTGGGTTCCTATTGTGAAGCTGTTATGACAGCTTGACTGACTAGAGGACTTCACTTCCCGTGTTGTTTCCACCTGCTCTAAAACAAAGTTT